GAGTGCACCCTCAGAAAGTTTGCAGATGACACCGAGCTGGGGGGAGTAGTAGATATACTGGAGGGTAGAGCTAGGATTCAGAGTGACCTAGACAAATTGGAAGATTGAGCCCAAAGGAATCTCATGAGGTTCAACAAGGACAAGTACAAAGTCCTGCACTTAGGATGGAACAATCCCATAGACCAGTACAAGCTGGGGGCTGACTGGCTGGGCAGCAGCTCTGCAGAAAAGGACGTGGGGGTAATAGTGGACAATGAGCTGAATACGAGCCAGCAATGTGTCCTTGTTGCCAAGAAGGCTAATGGCATACTGGGCTGCATTGGTAGGTGCGTTGCCAGTAGGTCAGGGAAAGTGATTATTCCCCTCAATTCAGCACTGGTGAGGCCACATCTGGAGTCCTGTGTTCAGTTTTGGGCCTCCCACTACAGAAAGGATATGGACAAATTGGAGAGAGCCCAGCAGAGGGCGACAAAAATGGTGAGAGGTCTAGGGGACATGATTTATGATGGAAGACTGAGGGAACTGGGCTTATTTAGTCTAGAGAAGAGACTACTGAGAGGGGACTTAATAGCAGCCTTCAACTACCTGAAGTGGGGTTCGAAAGAGGATGGAGCTACACTGTTCTCAGTGATGGCAGATGACAGAACCAGGAGCAATGGTCTTAAGTTGCAGCAAGGGAAGTTTAGGTTAGATATTAGGAATCATTTTCTCACTAGCGGGGTAGTATAACACTGGGACAGGTTACTCAGAGAGGTGGTGGAAGCTCCATCCTTGGAGGTTTTCAAAACTTGGCTAGACAAAGCTTTAGCTGGGATGGTCCTGCTATGAGGACTAGATGACCTCTTGAGGTTTCTTCCAACTCTAACTTTCTATGATTCTATTACCTAATTCTATAGACTTCTTTGACAAAGCTCTCGTTGACATTAAAGGAAAGCGGACTGAGACCCCAAACTCACAGAAAGATTGGGCACCATAATAATAAGGTGCCAAGTGTTTCCTTGAGTGTGCTGAGCATCCACTGACAATTTTGGAAACTGAGCATAAAAAATTAGGCCCCAAACTAGCAGATTGCAAAACTCAGCCTACTGTCTTTTATACTAGTAAAACTTAAAAGGTTCTTTCCCCCATGACTTAACAAGCAAAATCTCAGTACAGTAATGCCAGGCTTGTTTTATGCTATCAGATATATTCTATAGCACCTTTTGTCAAAAATATTTTTATCAAAGTTTATTTTACAAGATACCAAACCTCAGAAACCTGCAATATGGGAAAACTTTCCTCGTTCCCCACTTTTAGATATGTCCTGGTACAGCTGACCCTCTTCATTAGTTGAAACAGACACTGCCTCTTGTCCCACATGTTGGGTCCCTGCCACTCCTGAAAGTGGCCAGGGTCCAATCCTGTGTGGCAATGCTCAGGGTACTCCTCTGCACATGGAAGAACCTCTCATTTCCCTGCTAGCAGAGGAGTTCTTAAGGAATCCAAAGGTGCTTCTTTGCTGGTGGGAGACCCAAGGTTTCCCCATCTGTACAGGTGGGTAACCAAGGAATCCCAGGCAGGTGCTTCCAGGCTGCAGAACTAGAATTCCTCAAGGCATGCAGGGACAGGCCCCTGAAGTCTCAGAAGTGCATGTCCAGGGAGGCTGGAGCGTGTGGGCTGCCCACACTTTCCTGCCATAAAGCAAACAGATGTCTGCCACAAAATAATGGCACAAATTCATACCACCTATGTTGCAGACACAAATTTTGGGCAGTTGTGGTACAACAAGAGGTTTGGATGTCTGTTTGCTTGGACTTTGTGCTGCCATAAAAATTTTATGGCAGCACAAAGGTGATGTCTGTTTACACCCTCAGTTACTTGCCTATAGTCAAAAGAAGTCTGTGGCAAGTTTGGGAATATACCCAAATCCCCTGAGGTCTAGAGCCTGTTTTGACTTCCCTTCTTGACACTACAGCGACAATACAATCATGGAAGAGTGCCTGGGAACTTGTTCTGGCTTGTGCAACATCAGACATGTTAAGTGAGACCCCGCTACAAAAGTATTTTTAATTGCTGTTCGTGTATCCCAGAAAGAACAGGTAGATTTTCAGATCCTAAGCTGAGTTTACAGTCCAAAAATAAAAATAGTTGGATTTCCCACTCTCCTCCACTCCATCTTAGAAAATTAGACATGAAGATGAGAAATATGGAGCCCAGTGCACACACACGTCCTTTTTGCAGTAATTTAAAAAAAAAAGGTCTTAGTCTAAATAGTCTGCTGCTTTGAAGGGGCAACGTGTTAAAACTTAGACAGGTCTTGCTGCTAACAACTGCATAAACACAAAATTCTATGTTCCTTCTTTAGTCAAATTACCAATTTTACAACCAGATTGTACCAGTAGATACCAAACCACAAATACCTTCCCTCTAAATAAATAGTTACCATTGCATGTTTAAAAAAATTCTTAAGAACCTGTTTAAAAATCTCCTGAAAGAAAAATCTAACGCATCCCAGTTCTTCAAACAGCTGCTACCACTGATTAGCTCCATTGACTTCCTTTGCTTTCAGGCACAGCACTTACTGCATGAGTAGTTACTACTATTGATAGCAAACACTCTTCTCTTTTGAAAGACTAGGACAAAGTTATCTTGATTACAATAGTTTGTCCACTAACAAAATGTGGTGGCTTCTAGAAAGAACACCGGAGCTCCTTTACCAAATGTTAATGCTGAAAGGTAATTGAGTTTACAGATTGTATATTAATTGTATGTTAAATGAAAGAAATGGTAATCCAACTGCTAGCATATGTGGGTACTTACATTGTTTTAAGGGTAGCAATAACTTTAAAAAGAACAGCGAGAGGTAATGAAAGGAGCACCGAGGAAGATCAGAGTCAGTCAAGAAGAAATATTACCACTAGATGTAGTTTAGTGGCCATTCAACTCCACTAATAATTCTGAACAACTTTGGAAAATCATACTGTTTGCAAACTGTTAGAATTTCCCCGTCTCCCCTGCCATTCTTCTTTTACTTAGAATATTGATGCAAAACAGTAATCTTTATTAGAAGTCATCTACTCCTTCCTTTTACTCTCTACCTAAAAGAAGTGCTTTTGCTTGCAACATCACAATTTGTTGCTGTGGACAATGTCGTATAAAAATCTAAGAAAATTATGATTTCAGGCACAAGTGCACTTTATCAATGGCCACATCATAAAGTGTGCATGCAGTCTCCAAGATGCATTGCACAATTGGATATACATATAACAAATTTCCTTTTTGTGACAACATAATTTCCTCAGCAATCAATGCTGTCACAATCAAAAAAGAGAACTTCACATAAAGAAGAAGTAGGAAGAGCAGATGCCTCTGAAGCAAAGATAACTATGATTTAGGCTGCAGTGTTGTCTCTAAAGATAGTTCTGTTATGGTTTGACTCCGTCTAACTAGCTAGATAACTATATTAGAAACTAGGTCAGCTAAAAGTGTTGTAAAAGGAGACAGTTTATGGGCCAGCAGTTTGAACTGAAATGGTCTGTATAGTACCTCCCTTATGATGACTAGTAGGACATGTATATAGCATTGTTCTGACTTTTCAGAGCTGCCAGGTACGTGCAGGAGTCACTGCTGCTATTCCTAAATAAGCCAGGTCTCCATACAGCTAGCTCAAGCAGGGCACGAGCAGCTCTGGATATCCCTCCACCTCCGGATCAGCCTGAGACAACTGAGACAATGGTAGGAGAGTGGGGAATGGAAGGAGAATTGCACTGAGCAAGGGAGGGGGTGCTGAGATCAAGGGCCAGGGCAATATTCTTACCTTATATGCGGACTTTAAAAGAAGTCCCTGACTTTGGCTTCCACAACATTGGCTGCCTACCCAACTGGTGAGTGGGGACTGTGGGAATGGGAATGCAACCACCCCTGAAAGTGCTGCACCCCCCTTTACAAAATCCTGGATTTGCCAATGCCTGCATCTTCTGTTAACACCTATGATGCTCAAATGCTCAGCACATAAAACTACCAAGCCAGTGAGCTATACAAACATCAGCTAGTGAATCAATACATTTGTTGCATTTACAGCCTTCAACTGTCTGGGGTTAGCACTTATGCTGTTTTGCTCTAGGCCAGTGGTTTTCAAATTTTTTCATTTGTGGACCACTAAAAATTTCAAATGGAGGTGCAGACCTCTTTATATTGTAAGTGTGGGTAGTCACATACTTTTGGTTAATCATAGCCATCTTTTGTGGACCCCTTAGACATAGCCTGCAGACATCATAGAGAGCAGTCTGGTTGTCCTCTGTCCTCTATTGATACGAAACTGGACGCCTTTATGTCCTCTATTTTTCTCTTGAAGAGAAAACTGGATGCCTTGAAGAGAAAAATAGAGGACATAAAGGCGTCCAGTTTTGTATCAATAGAAGACGTAGTAGCAGAAAAACAGAATGTCCTCTGTGATGGCCACCCCACTGCAGACCCCCAGGGGTCCACAGACCACAGGTTGAAAACCATTGCTCTAGGCCAATGGGACACTTAGCATAAGAAGGATTTGCAAGCTTAGGCACGTCCATAACTAACAATTGATACAACTCTCCCTTGCACCTCAGATAAGTAAATCAAAATTATCCAAGTTAACTTTAAAAAAAGGGCACAGCAGGGTGGTTAAGTGAGTTGCCCATGTCCGTGCAGGTGAATCAGTGGCAGGGCTGGGATTAGAACTCCTGAACGAATAGTTCCCATGCCCAATATGTTGTCACAAAAGCTCTGATGTTTCAGTGTTCAGAGGAGTATATCATATTAGTTTATGAAAAGCTTATAACCCACAGAGCAGGATCTTCATGTAAGTTTGATATTGCCTTTGTTCACTGTGTTCAAACACAGTAACCTTTAGGCTTTGTGACCAATCAATATTATTCACCTTTACTCCACCCATAGGCTAGGCACGGAACATTACACCCTCATAAAATATTGTTTGCTTATTATCACATTGATAAGGATTCTATAAAAAACACACAAGCTCTCATTCTTTTTTCATAGCACCAAGCGTATTCTACTTTCTTCTCCTTTTTTAGTCTTCAGTTTCAACTCATGGAGAACAAAAGACAAGCTTTCTGACACACCTATCTTGGAAGATAGAAAATAACATCATCTGAAGACATACGGAATACTACACGGAGAATGGGCCTATTGAACTCCAAACACTCCAGAGTAAAACAAGCTCAGATATTAATGCTGGGGCTTGATTCATCGGGGAAATCAACACTATTGTACAAGTTAAAATTGAATGATGCCGTCCTAACAATCCCAACAATTGGTTTTAACGTTGAGATGCTTGAAACTGGGAAAGATTTTGCTTTAACAGTCTGGGATATTGGAGGGCAACAGAAAATGAGGACACTTTGGCGCGATTACTTGGAGAATGCGGATGGCCTGGTGTATGTTGTAGACAGCACTGATAAACAACGTCTGGAAGAATCTAAGAGAGAATTTGAACTCATCTTAAAAAATGAATGTATAAAGAATGTGCCTGTGGTTTTGCTAGCAAACAAACAGGATCTTCCTGGAGCTTTGAATGCTGAAGAAATAACCAGGAAATTCCATGTCAAGCAGCACTGCAGTGACAGGAACTGGTATGTACAGCCCTGTTGTGCCATCACTGGTGAAGGCTTGGCAGAAGCACTCCAAAGAGTAGCAGTTTTTGCAAAAAACTTCAGGAAGTCAAAAGAAGCTTTTACTCTTTTTAAGCAAGATGAAAAGCTGTGAGTGCTGATCATCTAAACCTGAGGACAGTTAGTACAAACGTTTGCATGTTTTTTGCAGCGCTAACCCTGAAAACTTGATTCATTTTGTAGAGTAATATGGAGTATGTTTAAATAATTGTGCTGTATTTGCATAATTCAGAGCTCATATTTGGGAGTGTTTTAACTAACAATATATTTGGGCTGTCTGTCGGATGTGTGCCTGTGTTTAAACTAGGTAGCAGTAAAGGGGTGCATTTTTGTGCTCCTTAATTTAAGCAAGCAGAAATATAATCTGTGTAGAATGCTTAAAATGCATAGTTTAAGCAGTTTTTATAAAATGTAAAAGAGCCAAGTTCAATGAATCATTGAACAAGCAAATTAAGGAGAAAAAATTCTTGTGGAAGTGCTTTTTAACAAGATAATTTTAAGGATATGCAAAGTAAATTTCATTAAAGAAGAATGAAGTAACGGACTACTACTTTGTAAAATGATTAAATTACATAGAGATTTGAGAGTTATTTGTAGTAATATTCATGTGTGTGTTCTCAGGATTTCATTAATGTGGATACATTTTTGTTCTAATATTGTAAGTCAATCCTGCACAGAACTGAACCTTCAAAATTCTGGCCTTTTTTATTATTTTTTTAGAGAAACTCCAAGAGGCCCCAATCTTGTTATTATTGAAGGCATCTAAAATATTGCCATTGACTTTGGATATGATTGTGGGCCTAGGACTGGTAGAAAAATTTCCAACTGGAGATGTTGCTAAGCAAAATGTTTATCAGGAACATTTTCAACAGAAATGACTCAAAATCAAAATGGAATACTTCTTTTAAAATTTCTAATTTAATTTAGTATTTAACTTCTTGTTTAATTCGGACTTTCTTGTTTTGTTTTGACTTAAATTATATTAACTTATTTTGATGAGGTTCTTTCCAAACTGTATTGATTCAGAAATATTAAATATTTTGTTCCATAAAATACTTAATGTCTTCATTTTGTCCTAATTTGGGTCAGAAAAAAAAAAAAAAATCAAGATTTTTTGCAGCACTGAAATTTCACTTCCCTCCCAACTTTGTGCATTTCTAATACCCAGCTCAGGCAAGGTGCTAAACAGCCATAGATTTAGTCCCCAACAAAAGTAGAAATGCAGCTAACCTGAAACATCTGAATCAAGATCTAAACTTTCAAAAAAAAAGTTTAGACTTTAAGAGCAGAGCCCTAATTATTTAAAAAAAACAATTTCACATGAAATGTTTAAATTAATTTTTTTAATTCATTTTGTTTCTGTGGTTGACATTTTGTTCCTGCTATGTTCCAATATAATATATACAAAAATATTAAGAAAACACTGAAATAGTTACTATTGTGCTTTCCAGTAAGGAAACATTACTGCTTCATGACTGAAAATTAAGCCTGAGTCATTGTATCAATTATCAAACCAGTTAAAATGAAAGATGCTGAATTAAAATTATCTTTCCCCATATTGAAAATTTCAGTACATAATTCTAAATCTAATAAATTAATGTAACCTGTGACAAGTTTGATGTAACCTGTAACCTGTTGAGGTAATCTGTTTTATCAGCAGGGAAAAGAGGGTTAATGCTATTGTCCTGGCTGTCCAGTTCACCAGCTCCAAGGCTCTCTCAAGGAGAGGTGCTCCCAGAGAGGTTCTTTTTAGTTTAATTAGACTGCATCAATGTCTCTAGTTAGAAGAAATGACACTGAAATTGATTCGAGAAAAATAATTTAATTTCAAGCTTTAATGTTAAAAAGTGCTACTCTGTCAAATAATGAGAAATCCTTTATGTGATCTTTCTACATTGTATAACAACATACTGATGGGCAGATTGGAAAATGTTAAATGAGAGAGCTTAGGGAACACCTTATTTATAAAGGTCTACAATCCACTAGAGACAGAGTGAAATATCCAACCCCTTATCCTCATGCTGCATCATGTAATTTGGGGTTTGAGTGTGTCCTACTAAAATAGCCATCGATTCTGTAGGACAGTAGCACTCAATCTCTATAAAATATAAGAATCTGTCATAGACCTTTTCCCCCTTCCTCTCCTTCAATAGGACACTTCCAACAAACAAGCCTTTAACCTTCTCTATTGGCACTCACACCTGCTCTCCTTGCAATGGATATTTTTTCCCTTTGGAACCTGAACAGCCTCCTTCATTCTGGTTGGAAGGTGCTTAAGCAACCGGCTGTTCCAGTGCTACAAGAAGCCCCAGACTTCCTTGAAGTGGCTCTACCCACAGAAGCGGGAAAGGACTTAATTTATTCAATCTCTCCTGACGAAATAAACCTTGTGAGTTTGTTGACTGAAGAATTTTGAAATGCTCATTCAATTTAATAAAGTGTTGCAATTATAGTCAAGCATAAGACCTGAATATAATGCACATGGTATTAATCTACTTCTATGAAGTGGAGTTACAGAACAGCTAATGACAAAAAGAAACAATTTTATTCTTTATTATAAACAAAACACACTTTTTAGGAAGGTAATTCAAAATAACTATAACAGAAATTCACCTTTAAAGTAGTATGATCCTGCTCCTGCATTTCATGCACACAAAAAAATCCCTTAGCTTTCCTGGACCTAATCCTGCATCTCATTAAAACAGGAGTTTTGTTATTAGGTCAGTGAAAGCAAGATTAGTCTCTATGTGAAAGGAAAGCCTTAAGCCAGTATTTCTAAAAGTGGTCCCTAATTTTGGAACCTCTGATCTCTTCTCCTGTCATAATCACTGCTTACAGTAAAGTTATGCCTGGTTTATATTTGTGCAAATTAGAGGAGACTCCTTAAAGCCGTTTAGGTGTCAAACTGAGGCAGCTGAACTAATGGGTCACTTCTGAAAGTCTTGGCTCAAATTGATTAATCAACCCTGCCAGTGGTTGTGGTGCCCCTACAAGTACATTTTGCTTTATTCTCATGTGTCAGTCAGCACCTCCACAGCATGTTGAACTGGCTAAATTCATTACATGCATCTGACTAGTAAAGCCTACAGTCAGTTAACTTTTAATAGGGCTGAGTTGCTGATTCATACTAAAAGCTTGTTATAGAGGAACCTGCATACAGCCGCTTGAAAAATGTTACAAATTTCATAACATTGGAAATGTCAAAGTTGTTTCTGCTTGGCAGGGATCAAAATGGATTGTTAAAATATTAAAATAAAAAGATCTTGATGCTTTTAATCAATATTTGTGAAAATGGTGGTTAAGGAAATGTTATTGTAATGGTTATCAACAATTATTTCAATAAGATGTTGTTATATTTTATTAGCAATTAGAACAAAATTAATGACATTTTAAATATGTCAAAAAAGGCAAGTGCTTCTACAAAATAACCTTTTCATGGCCACTAGCTTTTTTTTTTTTAAATCACAATGATTTATACAAAGGAGTAGTTACTTAGCTAACCTTATAAGCTAAAAGATAACGTTTCATACAGGGTCCTATAACCCAGCAAACTGAGCAAACTCTCAGTGGGGTGAAAGTAGGTAGCATAGCACATAAAAAATGTAATGTAAAAGAAATGCTCTTGCTCATCTGCAGTCTGATTGCCCCTGAATTCTAAGGCTGGTGTGGGAGTGGGAAGAAATTAGTCCCAGTTAAACTGGAGGCCTTATTTAGCAAACAGTTGTAAAAGTGTGTGAAGATCTCAGTTGAATTGTTGAAATGAGTGACTTGAGTCAGCCAGTCATTAAGGTTACATATGAAGGGCTTCTGTCTTATAAGTGAGCTTTACTTTCTTTACTAAGTACCAGTCCAGTACTTAGTAACTATCCTTGGAACTGTCAAAAGGTCAAATGTTAAGACTAAGCTGGTAATAAATAGTATTTTCCACAAAATGTAGATCCTTCCTGTGAGTTGACTGGACTGCCACATAGAGTTAAGTCTACTGCTAGATGTGCATCACAAGCCAGTTAATATAAGACCTAAATAAGGAAATATAGGGGGAAAAAAGTGTGACTATCCAAAAACTGGGGAGATGAATGAACTTGTTGACAAGTTTGGGATCTAAAATTAGCATTTTGTCTTCAGGATAATGGAAGGGAGAATGGAACGTCTTGCCCCAAAACTCCAGAGGGACTTCCCTCACTATACCCACCTGAAGTAAAGAGTATCTCTGAACAGAAACGGAGGTCATGAGTTAGGTCCCTGAAAACAAATGAGCTTGTGCTTGGAATATGGGCAGGAATAATTATTTCCAACTAAGAATTCCCCATGAGATGTCCTCAGGAGTGCACAGCAGAGCATCAGTTCTGCTCCCTTTGCAGTAGATTCAGTAGGATCTCCTGTCCCATGCTCAGCTGGAAGAGCTGGCTTGTGCTTTGGAAGAATCTTATGGCCTACTCGAATCACTGTAACCCTTGTCACCCATTTGGCTATTGCTGTTGGAATATGCTAGCAGGCAGCAGGATCTGTCCCTGATGCAGCCTCTTCTCTTATAAATGTGTGCTATTAAGCCCCTGCTTGGAGCTTGGGAATTGTTTGATGTCAGGTCCCATCTTGAGTAATATTTTACAGCTTAATCTTGCTGTGAAGGGTCTCAGATCTCTTGACTGCTTGGCTGAAAAATATTATCAACAGAATCCTCTCTAATGTTTTCAGACATGACAGAATGGAAATAGCACTGATTGCACTTTTCAGTACAAAGTAATCTTAGGTATAATTGTACTCCTAGGCTATTTTGATATGTTTCAGGGTTTTTTGTTGCATCTGGTGGTAACCGGTGAAAGTCACAACTAAGGTAAAAGAACATACATACTATACTCTAGTAGAACCAGCTTTGTATGATTTGTGAGGGGCACAAGATGCCAGGAGGGATTAAGTCTGAGTTTTGCTGCTCTTTCTGGTCCCATTGGGATAGAGGGGTAAAAATGGGGAGGGCAGAGGGGATATCAAGTTGTTTCTTCACCCTCAAGTCCTGACATCAGGGAAATGGATGGGTTAGCTGATGAGTGGGACAGATCTTGAGTGGGATAAAAGATTTTCAAAAACTCTAGGCAC